TGCGAGGTAACGCAAAGGTATTGCGAGGGAATGCAAAGGTATTGCGAGGTAACGCAAAGGTACTGCGAGGTAACGCAAAGGTATTGCGAGGGAATGCAAAGGTATTGCGAGGTAACGCAAAGGTACTGCGAGGTAACGCAAAGGTATTGCGAGGGAATGCAAAGGTATTGCGGGGTAACGCAAAGGCATTGTGAGAGAACGCAAAGGTATTGCAAGGTAAAGCAAAGGTGTTGCGAGGTAACGCAAAAGAATTGCGAGGGAATGCAAAAGAATTGCGAGGTAAGGCAAAGGTATTGAGAGTTAAGGCAAAGGTATTGAGAGTTAATGCAATATTATTGCGTGGGAACGCAAAAGAAAAACAATCTCCCCATGTCCCCTCGTGGGCTCCTTATTTTTTCAAATTCAAAGTGCCATCTTTTTAAAAAATATATTAAATAAGGAACAAATGTATGCTTTGAAAAACAAATAAATAGCTGAGTGGAATTTACTGAGTATTTGTCTTCAGCCCAGTCCAGCCAGTGCTTCCTCTTTGGGTCGGACTTTGAGCTCTTCCAGCGGTTTTTAATGGCAAACTACGAACAAAACAAAGTCATTGTAGAAAGCAGAAACGTACAATTATTCGAACAAAACAAGAAGCTGAATCGTGTGTTTGCACTGAGATGTGACAGGGTCCAAAGGAGGCGGGGCTAACTCACTCCAATGCAGTTACAGACTTGCAGCAGGATGTTTCCCTGAGGTGGAGACCTCTTGTACAGACTGCTGCCAGCAATGAACACAGCTGTGGAAGCAGCAGACGCACAGTCAGATGTTTCTTCAACACAATGTTAAATAATTAACAGAAGGAGCTGGTGGTCGTTCTAACTGCACGGCTGTAAAATGCTTCAGAACGTTACAGCCATGCTGGAAACACTCCTCCAGCCTCAGCCTCACTCAGATGTGCACCTCTGGCCTCCCTGTGATTAAATCACAGTTTGGTTTTGTATTGAGCAGCCTGTCAGGCATGAAGCCCATAATGATCAGGGGAGACAGGGACTGAGGCAGAGAAAACAAACTGTCAGGGTGGCTTCAGTCCAAAGGAAACCCAGATTATAAAAGCCACAGTTCTGTGGTTTCAACCCGACTCAGGTTGCAGCAGCTCACATAGAACCACCAAATACACAGAAAAGTAAAGAAAACATTTTAAGTTTTCCTATTTTAGCTGTAGATTTAATGCATAAAGCAAATTTACTAAATTAGGTTTTAGATGTTTTTAAAAACAAAATACAAAATCGTCTCTGGTCAAACATGTACAGTTACTTCAAACAGAATGGAGGCTCAGTTTCCAAATATACTTTCCACTAAATAAAGAGAGCTGTCCACATATATATGGACAGAGTTTCCCAACGTTCCACTATTTATTAAATACTGACGTCTCAGAAGCTCACAATAGAAATCAGTCAAGAATGAGAATAATCAGGTTTCTATAATTCCAAATGTGCATTTAATTAAAACACACAAATACCATACAATCTAGGGAAAAAAGGCAATTCAAACTGTATAAGTCAAAAAGAGATTTAAATTTTAAAAAGTTAAAATTGTGAGAAAAAAATGTGATATTTTCTGTTTAAAAAGGTGCAATCAAAAAAAGAAAGACCTGCTGCGTGGTAGTGACTTTATCCTTCAAAAAAAACTGGAATAAGATGAATATCTACAGTATGTGGTATATATTTGCATTTGGAGCTATATATAACCTGCAAAAAAAATCACAACATTTCTAGTGGTTTAAGCTAAAGTTTCTGTTGCAGTAGAGAGTATTAATATTAAATAATAATAATAATGTTTTCCTAAGCTTCATATGATTTGGATGACGGAGTATGAGGGATACTGCTGACAAAAACAAAAAAGGTTTGCCATAGCAAGCAAACTCACACCAACATTTTCTGAAATCTATCTATCTATCTATCTATCTATCTATCTATCTATCTATCTATCTATCTATCTATCTCAGGGCTATTTCACTGGAGGCCCGCGGGCCACATCTGGCCCGAGAGTGACCAAAGTTCGGCCCACCAATTGGTTCATTCATCTCTTAAGCCCAAATCCCCAGGTTTCTACTTTAATTACTCTAAGTTCTTTTAGTTGAACATAGACATGTTTAATGTCAACAGAAATGTCAGAATCTTGGCTACAAGCTGGTAAAAACCATTTCTATGCACACTAAAGACAGTTAAAACTACAAGCAGTTGAAGATAAAATGATGAAAGTGAAAAAAATTGGTTTAAAAATTTGGTAAGTCAGAGATGTCAAAATAATATTTGTGTCAAATAGGAGGCAGAATGTGTTCTTTTTGTTTTTGATGATGTTTAATTATCACTACTTTTATAGGGTTCTTTATGTTGTATTCATGATTAAATGCAGCAAAATAAACTATTTCAAAGGTAACAGGTCTTTGTAATACTTAGTTTATTTACATAACAACTTTATTTGCTGGATATTCGGCCCCTCAGATGTTGACCTGCAGTAACTGTGGCCCCCAGAGACATTTAGTTGAATTGCCCTGATCTAAAGGGTTTAAAATTGGCCTTAATTGGCTTTAAGAACACCCTACCGTTTCTGACGCTCCCACTTCAGCACGTCTTCACAACAATGCTTCAGAGGAGGGGTGCTCTGTGGGGTGGGAGCTCGGCTGCAGACTGAGCTCCAGGGAGGAGCTTTGCACAAATAGGTGGAGCTTTGTGTAAATAGGCGGAGCTTTGTACCAGTAAGTGTTCAGGCAGCTCCACATGGCCACAGGAGATTCAAGGATTACTCCAACGTGAACAAATGAGTCAAAGCAACTAGGGCTGCACGATATATCGCACATTTATCGTCATCGTGATAACAGCCTGTGCAAAATGCATATCGCAAAAAATGCATAAATTGCAATAAATGGTTAGATTTAACGTTTGCAATTATGTGTTTTGTCAGCATCAGTCTGATAAACAAAATGGACCAAAGATACCACATGAAATCACTCCATCCTGTTGTTATTAAAATGATGTGTTAGTTGTTTTTTTTAGCTCTGCAGAGCAGAAAGATATCAACACTGCATATTAAAGTATTTTTATTTATCACAAGTCATATCATCAGCGCAATATTAAGCACTGCTTTTGCACATCGCATGTTTTCCTGATACCGTGCAACCCTAAAAACAACACTCTGGAGATGTTTTTGATGAGGGAATGACATTATAACCTACTGACTTTATG